ATAATAAACGGTTATTTCGCCGACGGGGAAACCCCTGTCACTCATCAAATTCACGCACGGTACGGGAAAATGACGTATTATATAAAAAAATATATAGTACCTACTTTAAGCGTATTATTCTTTAATTTCAGCCCTTAATGTTTATAAACAACCTCTCAGCGATTAAAAAAAAAAACATCTTCGCCCCTATTTATCCTACAAAAACCGTTTTTCTAGATTTGTAAAAAAAATCAATTAAACAATTAATTATTGCAAAAAAATAGTGAAGTGAAAATCTGTACATTTCATTACGCATAAAAGTCTTCCGACTTAAAACTCGTTATTAGTTATTACGTGTTATATGATATCTGTTTTTAATAAATTTCAAAAATTAGGCGATCGTATAATAAGGAAACCAGGTCATAAAGAATATGTTGATTTTACAAAGTGTATTCTGTTTTATTGTCGTGAAATAAATGTAAACATGTAAATATATGAGATAACGGTTGTATTTCATACCTTTTCTAGAATGTTCTATTTTGTTTGATGATTAAACAACGAAAGAATAGAGATTTCTTCACGGCACTTGTAACTGATTTATGTTTTATAATATGATGATGTCTCAATATTGATATTGTTATTTCTTCGTTGCGTAACCGATTGTGATTACAAAATGTATAGAAATAGGTAATATATTATGATTTTTCGCTTCGAATTTTCCGGATAGCTATTTTTCCGACAGTAAATAATTCCAGAGGAAAATTCTTGGGTGCGAATTTTAGACATACATTTAAAATAGGAGAACAGGAGGGTGGAACTAACCGACCTTAACTCAAAGGAAAAAATCCGAAAATTCTGAATAACGGAAAAATGACCAACCGGAAAAAGTGGACGGATATAAAACAGGGCCTACGTATTGTTACTCCGTTGAAATTCATAATAAATATAAAAGATGACTAATTGTAAATGTCAACAGATTTTATTTTACATGACAATTGCTTCTATATACGTAGGTATGTTGATTAAAACGGTCTAATCTAAAAAGTGCCGTGCCATCATTACAAATTTTACAAATTTTACGTGCGTTTAAGGATAAGAAAATAAGAAGTGTTTATTGTTTTACTAGGCATTCTTTAATTCCAAATTTATGAAATCTACATCAAAGTTCAGTTTATTAAAAAAAATCTAGAAAAGAATGAACGAAATGGGGAAGCAATAGATTATTTACCAATTTTTTAATGTTAACATTAGATATTACCTATATTTAATACGCAATCAAATAGCAAAATAAGCATACATACAAAAAGTATATATAAACACAATTACAAACTCATTAAAAGACAATAACAAATCATCATCATCATTATCATAAGGTCGTCAGTCCTAAGACTGGTTGGACACGTACCTCTACTCTTTCCTATCCTGAGATAATCTTCGCATTTCCCTAAAACTAGAACAACCTACATCCTTAACTATTTGCGAACAATAATCTAACCTAGGTCTGCCTCTACCCCTCCCAACTCCTGTTTCTGCCTCTAATATGTCCCTGACTAGATCTTCATCTCGGAGAAGGTGTCCTACCAACCTATCCTGCCTATTTTTTATTGACTTCCATAGAGTCCCCTGCTCTCCTACTTTTTCTAACACCTTTTCATTTTTAACCTTTTCTACCCACGTTATCCTCGTCATTTGCCTATAACACCACTTTTTGAAAGATTCTAACATTTTCTTTTCCGCCGCGCCCTGTGTCCATGTTTCGCACCCGTACAATGTCGCGCTCCAAACATATACCTTTAGCTACCTTTTTCGAATTTCAAAATTAACCGTTTGCGAGCATAGAAGTTACTTCTTTTTATTAAAGGCGATACGACCCTGCGATATCCTCTCCTTTGTATCCCTACTACTTCTTCCGTCCTGACTTATCTGACTTCCTAGGTATCTAAAATCAGCAACTTCTAATTTTTCGTCTCCTAGCTTTATATTCGCTCTTTCCCTACTTTTCCTTCCCTTGCATACCAGTATTTTAGTTTGACTTTTATTTTCATACAGGAGTGATCTGTCAGTACCGCTTCCATTTTATTTAAAGCTATCTCTAAGTCCTCCTTGCTATATGCTAATACTGCTATAAATAACAAATACATAAAATAAATATTATTTTTGCCAAAGAAATCAGAAATTTTTGTTTGTTTACGCACTTAAGGGTTGAAAAGTTTATATTTGTGTGAAGAACCAACGCCGACGTTTCGTCTTTATTTGAGGGGATTTATCAAGATGGGTTCTTTAGTTAGATAAGTATAGGTAGAAGCACCAAACTATTTGGAATTGGAAATGAAACATATTTTTGGGAGTTAGATACCCAGTTAACATTTTTGCTTGAGTAAATCGTCACAATTTTCTGTCAGAATTGACTTTTATTAGGCATCCGTTAGATTCAATAATTTTTATCATCGGTTTTGTTAACTTTGTTAGTCCACTGGTTTAAGCGTTGTGCTTTGAATTCGGTCGTTTAATGTTAATAAATATTCTTAAACATGTGGAGTATTTATCTTTATCTTTTCAAAAAAGTGCATTCAAAGAAGTCGTCAAACCAAGGCGATTGAGAAAAAGATTGTTAAATATGTATGTTTGGAGTGCAGCGCTGTACGGATGCGAAACATGGACCCACCGGGTGGCGAAAAAGAAAAGTCTAGAAGTGTTCGAAATGTGGTATTACAGGTCAATGATGAGGATACCGTGGATAAAGAAGGTTAGAAATGAATAGGTATTAGAAGGAATAGAAGAATAGAGGACTCTATGGAAGTCAATAAGAAAAGGCGAGGTAGGTTGGTGGGATACCTTCTCAGGCATGAAGGTCTAGTCAGAGGCATATTAGAGGCAGAAACAGGAGTTAAGAGGAGTAGAGGTAGACCTAGATTAGATTACTGTTCGCAAATAGTTAACGATGTGGGTTATTCTAGTTTCGGGAAAATGCGAGGATTATCTCATGATAGGAAAGAGTGGAGGTGCGTGTCTTAGGACTAACGACCTTATTATGAAGTCAGTCGTCACTAAATATCATAAATTGTTAAGTTAATTCCACTGTGTCCCATGAGTCATTTAACAGTACCTACAGGTAGAACAAACACACGTATACACACAAACTGTAGTACCAATACACCTTTATTCGTTTATACAATACGTGAAGCGAAGTCGCTCAGTCAATTCCGAAACGACCGCCTTCACCTGTTGCATTCGTAAAGTCAAACATGCGTGGCGCAGGTATTAGACGCCATATTGTTGGCAAAAAGAACCGTACTTGATAATTACCTGGACAAAAGGGCACCTGTTTGCCACCAAAATAATGTAATGTGCCGTAAAAGTTTATCGTTTAGTGGAGATGTGAATTAATAAAAAAGAAATCAAGTGAAAACGGAAAACTTTAAAAATGCAATTATTTGAAACGCGAGTGAGGTGTTGGGTTTTGGTGCTGTTCTTCTGGGGTTCTTTGGCAGGATGGACGAGTGCCGATTTAACTTTGAACGGTATGAAGAAATGCGGATCGAGGATTTGCAATCAGCACGAATATTGTTCAGATTTTGATAAACTTTGTAAACCTTGCGACGACATATGTAATGAAAAACATCACAATTATGACGCCAATTTGTGTGTTAGGGATTGTCAAGGTAAGCTATTGCTCCTACATTAAATTTGTTTTTCGTTTTGCAAAATATCTACCTTGTTTATCGCAATTTTGTTTTGCAAGTGCTTGCGAAATTATTCGTCAATTGTACACATATGCAGTCATACGAAAGAGTAACTCACGATGCATTAAATGATTTAACTTTCACTTCTAACAATCAATTACTAGATTTTTTCTTTGTTGCGTTGCATTTATCGATTTTTTGTACTAATTTAAATGCGCATATTGGTATGCCGATAGCAAAACACAATAAAAACAACAAAATAGAAGACGTTAACTCTGCTATAAAACGGAGGGTACCGTAGCATTAAAAAAATCAATTTATGTGTGGCCTGGAGAACAGGAAAATTGTGTGTTAATAATCTCAAAATAAGAGAGAAAATTGAAATATCTGTCCCAGTTTTTTGCAAATTGTAGATTCACAACAATGCACAAACTTATTTACATGTTCAATTTAACTGATATCATTCGATGTACGTATTTCTAAATTTTGGTGATTTAAAAATGGTGCCGACTTTATCAAAAATAGTCAATTTCAGGGAAGATAGTGATACTTTCAGATAAGTGGGTCTAAAAAAATATGTATAAATATATTTGAAGAAAGGGGTCCCGTTTTTAAAAACGAATAAAGATTACCTTAATTGAAAAAAATTTCGAAAATAATAGACCAGTAAAATTAAAATTTTTGAAAAAAGTAAATGTAATTTAGGGTAAGCTGTACTTAAATGCTTTACTTAGGTATCTAACAGGTGACAGATATCAACAAATTATCTAAAAAGTTTTGTTTGAAATTGTTATTAAATCGTGTCAATAGATACTTGAAATAGGTTTTTCCTTGATATAACCAAAAATAGAATTTTTACAAAAAAAGTTTCAAATAAAAACTGTAGTAGAATTTAAAATTTCTTATAAAACCCATTTTAATTAAAGATGCAAAATTGAATCAGTAGTTGCTGAGTAATGCTAATTATGTAATGTAATATTCAGTTGTTAAAAACTTTGTTTAAACAAATTTTATATTGACGATATGTTAGGAATTAATAGTTCTTTTTAAAACAAACAAATGTAGAAAAAATCAAGAAGATCCTAGTCTTATTAGCTTCTGAAATATGCAATTTTGTAATAAAAAACACTAAATCGTTAAAGTCAATTTCTATTGACTTGAAAAAAGATAAGGAAAATTGATTTTCACCATTCCATAGTTTTTGGTCCATTGAACTTAACGCTTTAGACGTGATCATTTAGCAACAATTCCAACCAAAATTTTTGGATAATTTGTTGATACCTCTTATCAAGAAATCTAACTAATTGTAAAACATTTGGATGCGACGAAAGTCGTTTAAACACTAAACCAATGAAATTTTAATTCTCGGAAGGTGGATTTTGAGTTAAGTTGAAACCTTCGAAACGAGTCTATAATTATTGTAAACATTAAAAATCTGCAAGGTGTCAAAATTATAATAAATTAGGACAAACGACGTATCCCAATGCAATCTTAATTACCAATTATTACTGAAGTTTGTTTTTTTTTGGCAAAATTTCCCGACACCATTATCCTAAGAAAGTGCTGGATCCTTGTTTCGAAAAGTTTGCACAAAAATTGAAACCAATTTTGAATAGTTTTTAATTATTTCAAATCATTCGGTTATATTAATCAAAAAACCAATTTAATAAATTAATGTGATAAAATTGTACTTATAATGTCGTTTAATCAAAAATTAGACAACAAAAATAAAAACTTGCCTCACCCTTTTCAAAGTTACTGTATTAGGATGAAGGATCAAAAAATATTGAAATACCTAAGTATAAATATATAATATGAAATATTGTCAATTTTTACCCACTACACACTATCTCAAATTAATGAGGAAAAATTGTTGCTGTTGTAATTTGAGGTAGTGTGTAGTGGGTAAAAATTGAGAATATTTCATATTAAAACTAACTCACTTCGGGAAGATTTCTACATTGTATGTATAAATATATAACGTAACGACGGTTTTACATGATTGGTAATTTTAATTAATAATTAATTCAGTAATACAACAGGTATTTACTTAAACAGGTAATCAAGTCATGGTTGGTGGTTGAGTCAGACACCCATTTTATAAAAATTACTGTAATAATTTATTCGTCAATTAAGGAAAATAATAAATTACCTTGAAAAAGCAAAGTAATGTAATGGAAATTAACGAAAACTAGAAACTTCATGTGGTCAAAATTTTGCTTTCAAATAATACGTGTAGTACATATTTCACATTCAAAATTAATTTCAACTATTGACAGACTGACACATTAAAGCAATCACAAACATAAATTTGTTACAACCGGAACAATTTGTATGTATATATTTTCGTAGTATTTCGATTTATCCAGCCTATACACTACCTTTATTAATTTTTACCTGCCTCAATTAACGTCAACGTACCTACACCAACTATTTTTTATAGTTTCAGTATTTAGGGCACATTACCTTTCTAATTTTACAAGTTTCGTTTCCCTACTAAATAACGAAAAATTGTACCAAAAGTATCGACTAGAAATGCACCAGGTAGTCACTTTGCAGGGTATCGTATAACAGGGTACTCTGCAAAACCACTAAGGTTAATGGTTCATGTCCTCGTTCTGGAGGTCTTTCCACTAAATGCCACCCCCACCAACCCTCCAAATCGCATTAATTCCCGTTCAAAAAGTCGTTTAAATACTAAACGACTAAATCAACGAAATTTTTATTCTTGGTTGTCCGATTTTCAAAGAGAGAGACTTGAGTTGAATCGTGAATCAAAACGTGGTAAACAACTACGAGTGACAGAAATCGTTTGGCCGCACTCATTTATTCTTGTTCATGAGAAAAATAAACAAGAATTATACCGAAATAACAAATAATCTAGTATTTAATAGAAACTACGACCAACAACCTATCCCAATATAATCTTAATTGTCAATTTTCATTAGGTAGGCTTTTTGTTATACAGTAGAACCTCTTTAAGTTGAACCTCGATATATCGAAAACCTCCAAAACTCGAAAAAATGTTTTGTTTCAATCCCCAAAACTCCCATTACTCAAAATCTCAACCCACTATTAATCGAAATAATCACTGAGTCCGTGCAAGTAATTTTGGTACATATTTTCCCTCTATAACTCGAAAAATTAAATTGGACCTCTGTATCACGAATTAGCAATGTTTTATTTTACAACCTTTACAACTCGATAATTTGGAACTTATTACGTCTATTGTTCAAAGAAAACTAAGTTACCGACTTTAAGGATTTGTCGACAATGTCGAAAACTCTATAACTCGAATTTTTTGGCGTTTCTCTTGATGTTCGAGTTATAGAGGTTCTATCTACTTATTAAATTATTATTGCTGGTGTTTGCCTTTTCTTTTTCGAATAATGACCAGATAGAATCCTAAAAAAACTACCGGATCCAAACCGAGCACCCGGCCCATCTCTAATATCGACCTTCACGATTTAATATCGATTTAATATATGTATGTAGTTGTACACTCTGTATATCTGTGGTTAATTGTAAAATCTCAATCGTTTCAGTTACATTTAGGTACAAGCACACATTTTCTTGTTTTTACCAAATGATTAATTTTTCTTAAAAGATTTTTTTTTAATAATCATTTTATTCTTGGGTAACTAAAAGTAAACATTTCGTCAATAACATTTTATAAATACGTAAAATTATCAGGTGTTATTATTACCCACGTTGGTACAATATACTGTTGTGTAAATCTGAATATCTCTTATTAATACCGTGTAACATTCTTATCTGCTATCTTGTTTGAAGAAACAAGTGGTTTGACTTGACTTTTATTCTATGGATAAATGTTAGAACAATTTACACAGCTATTCAAATAGATTAATGAAATTGACTTTTCTGTTGAATTAACTTTCGTCATCCTTTTTTATATTTTATTCCAGTTGTTTTCATTTCAAAATATTTTTTTTATCAAAAATACTATTAAGTCGTACACTGTAAATGAAAACAATTTTTTTATCTGTTTCTAATGTTTACCCATTTTTATATAAAACACACAAAAATAATTAAAAGTAATGCTTTGGAGGATTTTGAATTTTTTACTAATACTTTAAAACCGAAAAATAAATTTTGGTCAACTGTATTGCCCATTGTTGATTAATTTTGGGAATAAAGAAAATATACAGTTTATTAAAAAATATTTTTAGTCGTAAGGAAGAAAATAAAATTGCAACAATGTTCCACTAATGTTTAATAAAAACTCGACATATGTTTCGATCGTCTTAATTTCAACTCATTACAGTTTTTGGTCTTTTTTTTTAAGTTATGTCTTTAGAATGTTCATCACCCCATTGAAACGTTGCAACCTCTTTTCATTTGATTAATAATATCAAACATCATATATACCAAGTTTCGAGTAAATTCAACCACAAATAAAGTATGTCCCAAACAAAAATTGCAACACCTTTTTCCCCCCTCACCCCTTTGGAGGTTGAATTTTTTAGAATGTCGAGATAGGTCTTTCAGTAATTAAATGAGAGACCATTAAGACCAAGTTTCAAGTAAATCTGACCACAAATAATATGTTTCATTTAAACATTGCAACTCCTCTTCACCACTCCCCCCCCACCAGAGATTGAATTTTTGTTACACCATTTTTAACAAATGAACGGGTAGGCTGATGTTTTGACTGATAAATTTTTCGTTTTGTTGTCAGTTGCGTTTTGTTATTTCATGTCAGTTGCGTTTTCTTTTATCACGTTTTATGTCAAGTTCTACGGGAACGGGATAAGAAAAGTATGCTATGTCCGTCTCCTAGTTCTCAGGTACCTCCCTGCCAATTTTCAGCCAGATCGGTTCAGCCGTTCTTGAGTTATAAATAATGTAACTAACACTTAACTGACTTTTATATACATATATACATTTTATCAGACAAATAGTTCATCAATTAAATTAGTTCTAAAGCTTCTTTAGTTCTTTGTTTAATTTTATTCTTGTAAGGGAAAAGTTTCATAAAAAACCGAGTTTTTAATCGATTAATGTAGTTTACTGTCTAGGCGTAAGGTACTGACTATACACCAAATAAAAGAAATTCAATATATTACCTACAATTGCAGGTTGACAAAAAAATACTTTTCAAACGAGATTGAGTTTCACAATATCTGTTTGTTATTATAAAATCAACCGTTACCTATAGTATTCGAGAAAGCTTACATTACGTGTTTGTATTATGTTTCATTCAAATGTTTGTAACGATATCTATTAAAACACGATTTAAAAGCCATTGTAGGGACGTCTTCTTGTGATAACTTTAAACTGTTATAAATTATCCAAAAGGCATTCTTAATACAGTATAAATTACCTTTTTTTCTAATGATGAGTAATGCAACATATCGGTCAAAAATTATGTCACTACAGTTGCAAAATAAATTAATTAAAATAAACGTTGAAAATACTGTGTGTCCACATCTCGATGCTCTCCTTTAGTAAGTATATTGAGTGACAGAAGAGATTGAATAAATTTTGCAGAATTAAAAAAATCTCATTTCAAATTCATTGTGACTTTTATCATTTAGAAAAGTTTTGAAAAAACTAAAATTCGCCGACTTATTTTCGTTAATAAATCGATAGCGCCTAATACAACTGCTTTTAAAGTTTTACATTTATCGAGCACTTGTTTAATACAAAGGTCGTAGGACGATAAGCATAGTGAATCGGACCCAGAGGGATGTCTGGATTATTTTTTTAGGGTATATTGGTACTAATGAGATACGTTAATTCTGAAAATTTTAGACCTCTATCTATTTTGGTTTCTGAATAAATCTAAAAAGCGAAAAATCAGAAGATATTTTTTTCTCAAATAAAGAAAAATAATTATTTTGGAAAAAATCGCCTGTTTTTAATGATTATTAAAAATATTATGAGCTGTTATTTTTTTCGAATATAGCTCTTATATACTCCTATAACGTATAACGTTCATTCAAATGGGTTAAGCCGTTTTTGAGAAAAAAAATATTTTCTGATTTTTCGTTTTTTCTTTATTTATTCAAAAACCAAAATAAATATAGGTCTAAAATTTTCACGATTAACGTATCGTATTAGTAGCAATATACCCTCAAAAAATAATCCAGATATACCTCTGGGGCCGATTAACTATGCTTATCGTCCTGTGGCCTTTGTTGGTGTAAACAGGAATCCTGATTTTCGTTAGTTTCTAAGGTACCAGCGCTAACTTTAGTTTTTCTTACGGTGACATCAGGCTAATTGTCTTTTTCTGTTATTGTTGTACCAAATGATAGCGTAGAACTAAAGAAAAATCATTACCTTTTTATATTGTTCTTTTACAGTTCCTTCAAAGTCGAACATCTGTAACTGAAAGTATCTGAAATAATTTCTGGTATAATAATATTCATAAATATTCATATATCCGTATCCATATCCAGATCCGAAATTTCATATCCATAATATCTTTGGTTTATATCTCTCGTATAAATGAAAATTTATTAGGCATGTTGTACATTTCTATTAAGAATTATCCAAATAATCTATGATTGAGTATCGTCACCGTTAATAAGGAAATTTTATGGTAAGTCACAATGAAAATTTGAAATAAGATTTCTTGTGAGCATTGAATTCTGTAAAACATTCGCCATTTAACCATTGCTTCTATTTTCTTTAATAAACGTTATATTGTGAGCATCGAAATGTGAACACACTGTATAAGAGAACCGTTATTTTTATTTTATTATCAAAACAAATGCTATTTTAAGCACATTACAAATACATAATAAATGCAAACAGTCAAAAAAATGTACGCACAGCAATTTTGTAGGCCAAAGTAGATAATCAATTGAACGAGGCACATAGGTACGCAATCTAATTTTTCAGAAAAAATTAAACATAAAATGTTTAGGTACATCCTCTATTGAAGAAGCAAGATGGACTAAAGTACATGCATATTGAAAATTCTGACCCATTTGTTGACTCACCCTAAATATAATCGTAAAATTTACATTTGCAAGGTTTCAACTTCACAGAACCCAAAACGCTTTATTTATTGCAAAATTATGTAAACTTTTGTAATTGGTGTTAGTGACGTAACGTGAATTTCTGCCGCCCGTAGTGAAACCTAAATTTCACGTTCTTCCTACATTTACAATTAATTTTTTTTTTTATTTAAATTGATCGGGGTTGCAATGAAAGGGTATTCACAAAAGCCTATACCTTTAATTTAATGCTTGAGGAGATAAGTAGCGTTTATTATTAAATGAAAGATAGATGAGCTTATTTACAAACAGTTATCAGACAGACTTATATACAAGAGATACATACATACTACGTATTTACATTTGAGCGAAATTCTAGAGTTTCACTATCAGCAAAATAGCAAACAAGGGTGTGATCAGTGCACCTTGAAGTCCACATGGCCAAGTTCCCAGTATAAATAATAAATAAATATTTTTCAAGAAATCCACAAAATTATTTTCTTCCAGTGTTTTTGTTTAAACAGAAAAACAAATGTTATGGATAAGTATCTTTAGCTCAAGCAAAAAAAGAGCTACTTATTTACGTCCTAGTGAAAGGGTTAATTTTTTTTGCTGTACCACTTTAGAAATAGGAATTAATAAAATTAATTCAATTTGAAACTATATAAATGTATATTACTTTAAGGAGGTATTAGTTCTTAAGTTTTACTTTTTTGTTATCTTAATAATTAGAATTTTATTTGAAATCATTTCTTGAACGCCCTGTATCTACGTTTATATTTTATACTAGTTTGAAATTCTTACTAATTCCTGAACTATTCATTCGCTTCGGTGAAAGCAATAAAACTAGGTCAAAAAATTACAAATAAGGCATTCACGTTAATATTTTGTCAACTAATCGGAAAATGTTAACCGCAAACTTACTCAACTTGACGAATGAGCGTATAATTGTTTTAAAACCCCAGTTATAAAAGACAAATCGTACTGATAACAATGTTTTTAAGAAAATAGCCGTGGTGTGTTTTGAAGTACTAAAATTAAGGTGTATTGGTTCTAGATTATATCCATGACCTCAGATATATTCGGAAAGATGGGTCTTCAGCTACCGGAAACGACTTAAACGGTAAGCAATTTTTTACAGTGGAATTCGTTTATTATGACTCCGCGTATATTGACCAACCGCTTAATATGAAGTAATTGCAATGTTAAGTTTGGTTTTCATATTAAATTCTCTATAGGAAAGTTTGGATACAATGACTCCGTTTAAAATGACATATCGTTTATTATAACTGATTCTCAAGAAATCATATCCGGCTATAGCAACCCAAATGATTAAAAATAACAAATTCACTCATTTTTCTTACGATTTTTATGTATATTAATATTACAATTCAAAAGTTCTTTTTCTTTTTCTGTTAATAAATATATACAATTTGTAGTTTTCCTTTCTAGTAAACTAAAAAACTAACCAAAATAGAAAGTTGTTCATTTTCTAAGACTATGCAATGGATGGATGATGCCCGCTTAGTATGACGTGTTTGTCATTTCCCTTCGATGTCATTGTAAGCGGATTATACTGTAGGTAGAATACATCAACATATGGACATATCTATACTTGAACGTATTCAATAACTGTAATTGTACTTTGAAAGTTTAAGGGATAATATTGCAAAAATATGAGTTTTCACGATATACAGCCATTGCAACTTTTGATTTACACAACGAGAACTATCAGAGAATCCATAGTTTCAAAGAGTTTGCAGAGGGCCATTTTCCGTAAGGATCTAGCGGGGTTGTTATCCGGTTATAGGCATTCTTTGNTTTCTCCATATCTCTCTAACTAAAGATTCAAGTAAAGATTTTACTTAATAAATTGTCTGTTATCCGAATTTCTATAAAAGTTCTTCGGAGCATAAGTCGCAACAATGATCAACGATTCCAGTTTTTTGTTTGTTATGGTTTTGCATTTAAAGCAACAATCAGCAACAATACTGAACCAATTCTAGACTACGACCATCAACACCGAATATCGGGCACTATTCAAAATGCGGTAAGCACGCAAAGAACTATATCGAGAGTTAAAAAAGTTATACTGCATTTATTGGTTGAATTACAAGACACGTTTATTTTCAGACAAGAGGAAATTAGGTCGAAGTGTCCGTATCAGATATGCTTAATTGATTTTCTTATTATAGGCTATTAAATAAACAGATTCTGATAAAAAATGATTCGCTTTTTTTTCCCACTATTATGTTCTCGTATAACGGTACTTATAATTTACCGATTATTGTAAGTATACATTTCCTCTTCAGATTAAAAATGTACAAAGATCAAGATAAAAGTATATCTACATAAGAGCTGAATCAGCGAGGCTGGGTAAAAATAACATCGAAATGAGCTTTGCTACAAAAATTAATATGTACAGTGGAATTCGTTTATTATGACTCCGGCTATATTGACCAACCGTTTAATATGAAATAATTGCAGTGTTAAGTTTGGTTTTCATATAAAATTCTCTATAGAAAAGTTTGGATAAAATGACTCCGTTTAAAATGACATATCGTTTATTATGACTGATTCTCAAGAAATCATATCCGGCTATAGTGACCCAAATGATTAATAATAACATTTTCGCCCATTTTTCTAATCCTTATGTATATTAACATTACAATTCATCGCTCTTTTTTTTTCTGTCACAAAATATATACAATTTGTAGTTTTTCTCTCTATTAAACTACATAACTAACCAAAATATAAAGTTGTTTATTTTCTAAGACTTTGCTTTGTATGACGCCCGCTTAGTATGACGTGTTTGTCATTTCCCTTCGATGTCATTATAAGCGGATTCTACTGTATTTTTGTATTTTTTTGTAAAAGAGTTTATAATTTTTATTGGGTTTTTTTAATTTATACCATAGAATAAAATGTTCGTTTATAACTATCATTGAAAATTATATTAGCTTTTGGGCATAGTGTTTAAAAATATAAAAATATATCGTCTTGTAATAGTAGATGGTTACAATTTATGATAAGTATGATTAAACATAAAAGCAAGGCAAGATTAGTTTTGGTTTTATTCTTGTGAGATCCGTTCTTGTTTAAAAATTCTTTAAAAATGAAAACTATAACATATACCTAACATACATTCCTTTTGTAACCTTGTAATTTCAAATCTATTATCAGTATCAGTGCAAAATTTTGACTTCTTCAAGGAGAAAGCCACAAATTTTAACACAAAATTGTTTCGTCTTTTGTTTTTAATTTAACAAATTCCTACGCTTTCAAAACATTTTAGACATTCAACAAATGTTCGATGTATTACTAATACAAAAAATGCGCACCTTTTAATTCTTTTTGCGATTATTTAGCTGTTGAAATAAAAGACTGGATTTCTAATAATGACGCAATTTGTTTATATTTACTCGCATAAATTTTTAATTGAGTTAATTCATTCTGTAACTTCTGTTTTAGAATTTAGGTAAGAATTTTGCGATAATCTTGCTAATAAATCTTGCTCTATGCGTTGGTATTGTTCATTTAGTAACACAGCTAATAGTAAACTTGGTCTTACTAAAAGTGGAAGACCAAGACAAGACAAGATAAAACTAAACTCCAAGACTATTTTTGCTCGGTACCAATAAGGTTAATAGCTAATAGTAAGCCCTAGTCATACTAAAGATATAAGTACAATTCTTAATTCCTATTAGGCATTTAGATTAAGTAAAAATAATAATTGAATGTTACTAATTTTTTGTTTTCGCCACTTTGCAGATGTTGTTCAAAGACTACATTCCATGGTTTCGGTTTCCCTTTCGCTGACATGTATCGTTTTGATCATTTTACTTATTGTGCTGTGTGTACAAATTTACAAATGGAAAAAACGAAATAACGTTACCTGGGCTACACTCAAAAACAAGCTTTTGTTTAAGGTTAGTACTATTTTACGCATCTGTCTTTATTAATTTAATTCGTTTCCAAACCTTTTAATTGTATTAAACATAATTTGCTTGTTATGAAGCTATCCGACATATGTCGTAATATACCCCTTATTAAGATTGTAAAGATCTTTTTTTTAACTGATTTTTTCACTTATTAAATTAATTAGTTAAATCTGATGAGTGTACAAACCGCTCGCTTTTGTTTTTGATATTTTTGAACAATATTGTTGGATAAAATAATTCGAAGTGGTCTGTATTCTGTCGTAACTGCCAGATGCGGATCGCGATTTCAATCTTTTTGGATCTCATCAGCGCGTCGCAGGCAGCTCCGACAGAACACAGACCAACTTTTACCTGCTGTCTTAACAGTGCGTTTCAGAAAATACTACAAACGGCACAGTGAACGCCATCTGTAGCACGATGCTACATTTTAGGATTACGTATTTTTCAACAAGGTCCACTTGTGTGGATATCTACTTGCTGAAAACGAATCCNACCGAGAGTTGTCTCCTTCCTTTTCTGGCCTAGTGCTGTTCTTTTCTACTTTGCGCCGGTCAAACTGAAGGTCACATATCGCTACAGAAACTAAACGAAGTATAATTAAAAATGTCATAAACATGATATTTATCATCAGGGTGAATTAGTGTGTGACCTATAGAAAAGAAAATCAAGTAGACAACGTTCTCTCGTTTTGGGAAAAAAAATTGAAGAACGTGATCTTAAGCACTTGTTCTCCGTCTCAGCCTTCTACAAACACTTATTTACTTACGATCATTTAGCTTGCGATGGTTCGTAATAAGTTATAATACAAGCCAGAATAAATGCAAGAGAAAGTTTTTCTCCGACCTGCCGGCTCGTGAGATGATGATGATGACGGTGACGTTGGCGAAACGGCATTATTCTCATTCTCATTTTCATTCGTTTAATATTTACATTATGTATGAAGGACATTGCCATTGAAGAGAGTTCCGAGTGACCGTAATAACCTACCACAATTTCTTCTAGAAAACGTGTAGGTACTTACAGCATAATTTTCTTTGATTCTTTTACGTACTGAATTCCGTTCTTATGGAATCTCGTAAAAAATAAAAACGCAGGACAGAATATGTCTCTAACTAGTCCTTGATGTCTGTCCTAATATATGGAGAAAATTAAATTTTTATGACAACGCTTTTTCGATTGTAAATGACTGAATTTCCCGTAGAAATAGTAGCATTTATTAGGTAACTAGTAATAATCTCAATTTTGAAATGTTTCTTTAAAAACTATTTCAAGTTTCTTAATTATTACAATTAAATTTGTAGAGCACCTAGTAAATTTAATTCTGCTAGGATTTTATTTTTATAAATTCAGATCCAAATTGTAATTTTTATTATTGTCGCTTACGAAGCAATGGGCTAATGGGATAAATTGCAAATATCACTTTAATATTTAGATAAATTTTCGTTTTTTATGTTTTCCGTGAAATACACTTACCATTTTTCTGTTAATAATTCTCTTTACTTTTGGACACAGTAACATATATAATCATAAGATTATATCACGTACAGACTGTAAAAGAATGCCATCTTTTGCTTCATCTAACAAAAGAGAGCGGTTTTTTGTAGCTGTTTCGTTCAACTTGTTTACGATAGTATAAGGACGAAGTGAAGGTTGTACAAACACATATTAAAAGAATGTTGTCGTTTTGATAAAACAGTATTCTCTCTTCTCTAATAACTATACGAAATATTTTGAATGCAGTTTATATTTCAATATATTTTAGAAGTATTGTACGTTGTTACCTTTGAACAATATTTTATTCTGGTTTTACTAAGACCTTTAAGAAGAATCTTTTGTCGATAATATATTATAAACAATAAAGTTATTATTATATATTTTTTTGTATTACGAAATATGTTTTAAAGAATATTAAATATCTGTGAATAAATATAAAAAATATACTTTAGGAAAATCAGGAATTTCGTGGAACTCAACTGATAATCCAGGATAAAGAGCCGTTATTTTATATTATTAATATTTCTTTGTTGTCTAAAATTATTGTAGGCCGATTTTTTTATTATTTTTAATATTGAATTGCTTTACGATTTAAGTAGAAAGCAATGGGTTAGAAAAGTATTTTAAATATATTTTTAAGACATTTTCTTGCTAAAGATTTAGTTTTATAGAATATAAAACTCAAAACAATAAAATACAAATACAATGATGTTGACCTACAGAATTTGAGTAATGAATCTGTTACTACGTGTAATATTTATAAATAATCAGAACGTATGTACTGTATAAAATTCAATTGTTGAAATTCGTTTATTTGTCTTGTTTAAAAAAGACAATATAATATGATTACCAATTAATCAAATACGTACACCTACTTTGTGTTAATTTCTACAATCTGATTTCTGTTAAAAAAAGATTATGCATTTTTTTAATTAATTCATTAAAACACTATTATTTTATTGTTTTTATATAGTTGTTGATGTTCTCGGAATACGTAACTATCTTAAATCTAAACTTCCAGTACACAAAAGTTATGTGACCATGCTATTGAAATAGTTTTATTGTTATTAGACAACATTATTTGAATTAAAATTAGAAAACTTGATTTGTTGTTTATTGAAACGTACTATGAATTTTTATTGTTTCTTATTTTGCTAGTAACTCCCCTTTGAGTATTACTGAATATTTTTATTCGCAACCTATTATTTGTTAAATAAATCATTTGAATTTTTATGCACAGTACGTCAGGCACTTAAAAATAATAATCGGAAGTAAATAATTCGATGTCCTTACATTATGATTAATACGCAAGTTTTCCTATGATTCATCTGTCGTGATAACCGCAACAAAATGTTAACAAATACTTAACAATCAGAGAATGATAAAACTAAAAACAAAATGACAACTAAAAACTTGAATTCCACTAAGCCTTACGAAAAAAAAAGAGAAATAAAACATTAAAAAGTTTTGTAACCGGTATGTTATAGCCAACAAAATGAGCGATTCCCAAATTTTTTAACAACATACAGACAAATAAACGATTTTTATTTGAATTCTTTCGGAATTTAGACAAATGGGTACCATTTTTGACGGTGCATTGTACTTATATTAATCGTGGCGAAATGACGATTGAATCATTACACCATAACCTAACCTAACCCCTTGGTGTAGGCATTTAGCCCTGATGCGTAACTCTTTGTAGATAGTAATACCAATTAAGTAATTCTTTCTCACTAATTCCTAATTTGAACCCTTATTTAGTGTATAATATTTTGTCTATACCAATCAGGAAATCCTAACTCGCCATAATCAAATCTAAACCCATCAATCACCACAACATGTATGATCCTTGGTGCATAGCACCCTATCTTACGATTTTTATGCATAAGAAGTGCTTTACATGTGCATAAATAATCCACGATCTTCCCAAAAATATGTCAAATATATCTTGTTTTTACGATTCATGCATATTTATGCAATTTATTTTTAATTAATTTTGGTTAGGATCNTTTTATTCGCAACCTATTATTTGTTAAATAAATCATTTGAATTTTTATGCACAGTACGTCAGGCACTTAAAAATAATAATCGGAAGTAAATAATTCGATGTCCTTACATTATGATTAATACGCAAGTTTTCCTATGATTCATCTGTCGTGATAACCGCAACAAAATGTTAACAAATACTTAACAATCAGAAAATGATAAAACTAAAAACAAAATGACAACTAAAAACTTGAATTCCACTAAGCCTTACGCAAAAAAAGAGAAATAAAACATTAAAAAGTTTTGTAACCGGTATGTTATAGCCAACAAAATGAGCGATTCCCAAATTTTTTAACAACATACAGACAAATAAACGATTTTTATTTGAATTCTTTCGGAATTTAGACAAATGGGTACCATTTTTGACGGTGCATGGTACTTATATTAATCGTGGCGAAATGACGATTGAATCATTACACCATAACCTAACCTAACCCCTTGGTGTAGGCATTTAGCCCTGATGCGTAACTCTTTGTAGATAGTAATACCAATTAAGTAATTCTTTCTCACTACTTCCTAATTTGAACCCTTATTTAGTGTATAATATTTTGTCTATACCAATCAGGAAATCCTAACTCGCCATAATCAAATCTAAACCCATCAATCACCACAACATGTATGATCCTTGGTGCGTAGCACCCTATCTTACGATTTTTATGCATAAGAAGTGCTTTACATGTGCATAAATAATCCACGATCTTCCCAAAAATATGTCAAATATATCCTTGTTTTTACGATTCATGCATATTTATGCAATTTATTTTTAATTAATTTTGGTTACTGGAAATTAAGAAAAGGGTAGTAAACCAACAAAAATTAATTTAAATAACATTTTTTCATAAATTAATGTAGATTATGTCTTCTCTTTCCTAAAGTAGTTGTGGGTTTTTTTTGTTCACACAGACACAAGACCGCAACACCTTTTAAGCATTTTGAGTTAAACGTAACATCACCTTTGCACGATCGGATAGCAAATATAGCAAAAATTTTCAAAAGTTGTTGAGCAGTTTAATTAAATTAAAATTACCTAGGTAGTTAAATCTTTGGTAAATGTATCCAATTAAAGGGTTAAAAACCAAAACGAATTACTGGTAATAAGCACTTTATGTGATAACAATTTTCAGATAAATTTCACTCGTTAGCTTACCAGTTATAAACTTATAAATGAGATCAAACATATGCCATTTTATGTCGAAAATGTGAAACATATTCATTTTATACACAAAATCTAAAGATATTCACTAAAGCTTGATTTTATGCAAAATATTTAATAACGTTAATCGTATTGTTTCAATGCGAAATTAATATATATCCGCAATTTTGGGGGCCGATTATAAAATATGTTTGCAAATAAGGGTAAGGAAGGGGTATTGCTTAACGTGATGAGATATGACTAGGGTGGAGGGAGAAATCGTTTAAGGAGAAGTGGACTATCTTTTGTGACGTAATATTTGTTAAAGGGGGTAGCTGGAAGTGAGACTTAGTGTGATGAAGGGGAAGAGAGGGGTTCAAAAAGGTGAAATTCTGAGTAACGTATTTCATGGACGGCCCCTTGGGTGATTGTTCTAATACTAAAAAAATGCTTTTTTACATAAAATTCCAAGTCTAGTTATGAGTAATGGCGATACATACCTAATAAAAAAAGTGTGATTTATTTCTAGAAATCGGACACCAATTCCAGTAACAAAACTACAAATAATGGTGTTTCTATTGCGGTGACAAACCAATCGGGAAAGCCAGATCTCCGTCTAAATATGCCATCAACCCCGGGAACCAATTCAGAATTTAGTCCTTCCACTATAACCACGTCAATCAGCAGGAGACCTGTGGAAGATTGTAATCTGGATTACGCCTATGATAATCCCGCTATGTCTACCACCCCAAGTCCCAACAAATCACACGAAAGTAACTTTTAATGTTTTTTTTTTAAAAAATACAAAGGTGCATGAAAAAGGTAATACATTTTCGTTATAATTTACAGAAACCCACAAAAACGTAGAAAGGTCAACTTGCAACTCGAAATTTGGACTTGTGACTCGAAATGTCGATTTGCAACTTGAAATTTCGAATTGAGTATTAAGCTTTCCATCAGTATAAGAACATAGGGTTTCACTGCCGGAATAAACGGTATCGTAGAATTATAATTCGAGCTGAAGGGCGGTGGTCTAAAGTCTAAATAAACTTTTATCTTTTCTGAAATTTTCAGCGTCCACGTATTGTAACGATTGCTATTTGTTAGCCTCTTAGGCAAGTCGAAATTTTGAATTACAAGTCGAAATTTCAAAAAAAAAATTGTTTGACCATTCTACGCTTTTGTAGAAATTAAGGCTGTATTTTATACGCAACAATTATTAAAAAGTACTAATGTTAGTAATACGAAGAAAGATAAAAATAAAAAAATATTACCCATTATACATTAATTTTTCGGCCATTCAAATAACTCTTGCAAAACATTAGAAAAACAAGAATTAATAAAAAAAAACACTTTCTTTACTGCAACAAATTCGTTAACAATTATAGCATGGGGAGTCCATTAATTACGTAATACTATCGGAGAGAGCAAGAGTCTAGCCGGGCACAACGGTCATGATAGGTAGGAGTTCAGAATATATTTAAAATTAAATAATTATTAGAAATTCAAAAACCCTTTTTTTTCTTAAATAAAACCTAAAACTTTTACAATGTAAGTGATACTTAACGGAGTGGTGACGAAAGAGGGGTTACGATTTTGTAATGTGGGATGAAGGGGAGGGTCAAAAATTGATGAATTGTGCGTTACGCAATATTTGGAAGCCCTTAATTATGGGTTATCTTCTCTCTAATTGAAAATTAAAAATGATAATAAACTGTTTCTTTCGATGTCAGTAATAAGATAATATCTTTTTATAATACAGAAACCGTACAAGTTTTAAAAAGTTTAAAGACTTAATAAAACGTACATTTAAAGGAGTATAATGTGTTTTTTATGTGTATATGTTATATTATTATGTATGGCTTTAATGTATATAC